TATGGAAATTATATAATACACACTCTAGAACATTTTCATCTTAACATATTACGGAGTGTACAATTACACAACTTAACATAACACTTGCAGAACTAGTATTGTTCGATGCTGAATTAATATAAACGAGTATGTTTATGACATTCAGTATATATTTCATAATTTTCAGTCTTAAATCCGTCTGACCGTGTAGCTCAGTTGGTAGAGCGTCGATCTAGTAATTCGAAGGTCGCGGGTTCAAGACCCATATATATATATATATATATATATATATATATATATATATATATATATATATATATATATATATATATATATATATATATATATATATATATATATATATATATATATATATATATATATATATACAGGGTGTATAAAAAAAAACGCAATCCTCGACTGAAATGTAAATTGCTAAACAAATAATAGACGAAAACGTTAAAGTTTACATTCATTTTAAAGCGTAGCCATTCAGCTTTCTAACAGTGGGTTGTTTCTTAAATTTGACTCATTGGTTCGCGGGTAATAATACTTTACGTTATTGCGATTGGAGATTAAAAAAAATTGAGATGGAATAACAAATCGTTCTCATGAAAATAACTGATTTTTTCATTAAAACAAACAAATGTTGCATTTTATTAAATGGATTGTAACAATAAGTATAATTACGGCTTTTCTTCCACTATTTTTAACACAGTTTGAAACTTCAAATGCGATATAATTTTGGCTTGGACCATCTAAGCTGACTGACATCAGCTTGCTATAATTTCTGTTTACATTACATCGCAATTCGATGACACTTTGGCTCAGACACCAGAATGTTTTGATTCTGTGATTTTTAGCGTTCGTTTGGGATTTTCAAACAACCTGGTGTCTTTTAAAATACTTTTAATTTGTTCTTACGTGGTTTTCCAGATGTAATGACGACAACATTAAAGTTTAAAGAAGAAAATTCTAACATTTAAACCTACTAAACAATAACATAGTAGACTTGCATAATTAAACAGCAACTAAAAATGATAGGTTTTACTAAATCTTTTCCTGTGCAATCATTACTAGCATTGGAGACAAGGATAATAGTTTGTTTGAAAGAGAAAAGAACAGGCTTTGAAGTAAGCCTAAAAGCGTTTAACTAGAGATAGTATTTCGAAAGTTATTAAGCACAAAAGATGAATTGCGTTTATTTTGATACACCCTGTATACATAATAGTATTTCGAAAGTTATTAAGCACAAAAGATGAATTGCGTTTATTTTGATACACCCTGTATATATACAGGGTGTATCAAAATAAACGCAATTCATCTTTTGTGCTTAATAACTTTCGAAATACTATTTCTAGTTAAACGCTTTTAGGCTTACTTCAAAGCCTGTTCTTTTCTCTTTCAAACAAACTATTATCCTTGTCTCCAATGCTAGTAATAATTGCACAGGAAAAGATTTAGTAAAACCTATCATTTTTAGTTGCTGTTTAATTATGCAAGTTTACTATGTTATTGTTTAGTCGGTTTAAATGTTAGAATTTTCTTCTTTAAACTTTAATGTTGTCGTCACTACATCTGGAAAACCACGTAAGAACAAATTAAAAGTATTTTAAAAGAGACCAGGTTGTTTGAAAATCCTAAACGAATGCTAAAAATCGTCAAAACATTCTGGTGTCTGAGCCAGAGTGTCATCGAATTGCGATGTAATGTAAACAGAAATTATAGCAAGTTGATGTCAGTCAGCTTAGATGGTCCAAGCCAAAATTATATCGCATTTGAAGTTTCAAACTGAGTTAAAAATAGTGGAAGAAAAGCCGTAATTATACTTATTGTTACAATCCATTTAATAAAATGCAACATTTTTTTGTTTTAATGAAAAAATCAATTATTTTCATGAGAACGATTTGTTATTCCATCTCAATTTTTTTAATCTCCAATCGCAATAACGTAAAGTATTATTACCCGCGAACCAATGAGTCAAATTTAAGAAACAACCCACTGTTAGAAAGCTGAATGGCTACGCTTTAAAATGAATGTAAACTTTAACGTTTTCGTCTATTATTTGTTTAGCAATTTACATTTCAGTCGAGGATTGCGCTTTTTTTTATACACCCTGATATATATATATATATATATATATATATATATATATATATATATATATATATATATATATATATATATATATATATATATATATATATATATATATATATATATATATATATATATATATAATTACTATTCTTACTTAAAATGTTTTTTTGTCTCTACTCCGAGTTTCACGCATCACTGCGATCATCAGGAGACATTGTTCTCAAATACCGTTTGATTTTCGTTGTTTGATGGCGTGACTGCGCGCGCGAGGATTGTTGATGTTGCTTACACGCGCGCAGACTACATTTCCCGCTAAAAATTGTTTCTGGTGCACGCACTTCGAGAAGATTTCCGATCTTTTGTTGAGTAGATTTTTGTCGCGAGATTTTAAAATCAGCAGCTTCTCTTGCAAGCATAGGTTGCATCTTGGTCTTCCGCTTTATATATATATATATATATATATATATATATATATATATATATATATATATATATATATATATATATATATATATATATATATATATATATAATTACTATTCTTACTTAAAATGTTTTTTTGTCTAAAAAAAACAAAAAAACATTTTAAGACAAAAAAACATTTTAAGTAAGAATAGTAATTACATTCGCTTTACAAAATTTTATGTATTGAGCACTCTCTTCACTATACGTTACAAAACCTGTGATATATATATATATATATATATATATATATATATATATATATATATATATATATATATATATATTAAGTGTGTAATTGTACACTCTGTAATATGTTAAGATGAAAATGTTCTAGAGTGTGTATTATGTCGATCTAGTATTCGAAGGTCGCGGGTTCAACACCCAGCCGCGGCAGACAACATCTTTCTCCTTGCGCTGGGTATGGAAATTATATAATACACACTCTAGAACATTTTCATCTTTATATATATATATATATATATATATATATATATATATATATATATATATATATATATATATATATATATATATATATAGATAGATATATATGAAAGGAAGCTATGTATATAAATATATAGGTTTTTACGTCAAAAGGATGATATCTTTAGCAATTCGCGCGAAAACCATATATATTTGTTTATAAAATAAACACAATATTACGTGGTTGCTTGGAATGTATATGTATGGTTTTCGCGCGAATTGCTAAAGATATCATCCTTTTGACGTAAAAACCTATATATGTACATATTTTCCTTTCATAGAAATTATGACGAAAATAGTGCGATTTAAAAGCAGTCCAAAAGAATTCCTAGACGGATTTGAATCTACCCACGACGAAATACGAACAGAAGAAGATCACTTTATTATCGTTCATCTTTTGAATAAATATGATTCAAAATCTGCAGTGTTGGGCGGCAATCTGGAACAGCTGGCAATGCTTGCCTGCTGCAGCAGTCCTCATGTAGTAAAGAGAGCGCTTGATGCTATTCTCAATGAAATAATTTTAAGCATTTCCAACTCTTCAAGAATTCGATGCCATAATTTATTGAAAGCAGAAACAATCCTTCGTGAGTCATTTGTAAACTTCATGGCTGTTGATAATATGAAAGCAAAATGCCATCGGATGACGACGTACTCTTGGATAATCACGTTAGTCCTTCTAAAATGCAGTAAAGAAGAGTGCATTGGAATTCTACCAAAAATCAAAGAATTTGAAAAGAACACCCTAGACGCTCTCCAAAATAACAGGGAATACAGCGGACGAAATACTTTTCGATACGGTATTTATCTCGCGCGAGAAAGTATTAAGCAAATTTCTGGAAGAAAAGACTCGAGACAATCTTTACACCGTATTATGAAGAAGTGTGAAAATCTGCTGAATAGCAAGTTGGAAAAGGACGAAGTTATGAAGCTTGGTAAAGCGATTTGCAATGGAGGCAGTTGGATGGATCTTCATGTATGCCTGGTGTTTTTGCAAGATTTACCAAAGGTAGGTTTAATTAAGTTGGGGTTTCAAAAACTATGTATTAACAATGTGGAAAAAAGTGATATTTATTTTATATCGGCTTTTATATTTTATCTGAAAAAGATTAAAAACGTATTCTATCAACGTAAGTGTTCGTCATTGTGAGTTTTCTGGAGGAGTCTAGCTTCTTCGAGGCACGCCAAGTTTTTTTAAATTTCTTCTGTTACTCCATACCTCAATCACTGTACGCTATTGAAAATAACAGCGAGTCAGAGAGTTTGACCAATAAAACGAATTTCAACGAAGTACTTGACAATTTTTGTTCAACTGCATATTATTTTGTATATGCCGAGTGTGAGGTCATGACTAATGGTTTCGTAACGTGTCGTCTCGTTATGCAATTATATATATTCGCTTTTTGGAAATAATTACCATAATCCTTACCTTGACCCACAGAAAACAGCGAGTCATGAATATATGTCTATATTCATGGAAGCTATAAAAACTTTTAGGCAAAATTAACACTCAAAGGTGAATAGATGAAAAACGCACTGTACCGTGTTTTTCCATGTTCGTATTCGTTGTTTTTCGCATTGCAATCGGGGCTTAGCAATAAGTCCATTGAAGTCAATTCACGGCTATTCAGTGTATTTCACTTTCTTTAGTACCCGATGGGAGAGTTTTTCAACTTTTTGGGCGTGTTTTGAGTTTGAAAATTGTCTTTACGCTCGGTTTGTTGCTAAAACATAACTCTCCTGCCCGCGGCCTAAATATCGTAAAAAGTTGGCGCTTGCGTAGCCAATGAAATTGCAGTAAATCACAAAATAACACTGGTTGCACACAAATAAAAAAATAACAATTATTCGCCGAAGATGAAGTGATTACCGGTGAATTTCGATGTCAATATGCACCGTAATGAATAAAATAAAATATCAAAATATCTGTGTAATTAAAGTTCATAAAACTGTTTTCGACCAGTTCACGGTTGCTGATTTAGTTTTGCAGGGTTTCTGCTACGCATAGGCATTTAAAATGGCTCCTTGTGATGGCTTTATGACAAAGATGTTTTTGTCGATTTCTGCTTAGAATTTAAACACAATGATGGAATTACATTTTCACCAGAGTTTTTCACAAGAAAATGAAAAAAATGTTTCTTTTTAGTATTAATTTGTTCAGGCAATGGCTGGGAAAATTGGAAAAATTGAACGTAATTAAAACTATTGATCAAATGTCTCGAAATTAAGTTTGTTAAAAAGACAGTTTTCACTTTACTAGATTTGAAAACACAATACAGCGTCACAACACCATACAGCAAAGAAAACATGACATATCAAAAGAAATATAGTATCGTACAAATTGAGATATCTATCGGATACAAAACAAAATGGTTTAAAAGAATATCACATCAAGGTCTTTTCCAACAGTCGGGATAGTTTTTTCTATTTGTTTCAAGTGATTGTTTCAGAGTTTTAAATCAGTTTTAAATTGTCCGTGAAAATGTTCGACATAGTAAAATAATAAAAGAATCCTACCTTTCGAGTCAAAAATAACATTTTGTGCTTCTTTCGTTTTCTGGGAACGATTTTTTCAATATTTTGTCAATTTTGAAACCAATTTTGCGGAATCATTCATTTTGAAAAGCATTATTTACTAGTCTGCTAGTAAATAATGCGTCAGATTTACGATAGTCATGCAACTAGCCAATCAGAACGCGCGAAAGCTTACTTGATATGCAAAATTTATACTAATACATATTATTTAGGTAGAAAATTAATTATTGAAATGTAACATTCATTTCCCTATAAATACTGAATGTAAAACTAAGAATTTTCACATGGGAATTTTGAGTTCCTCACATTCTTTCTGGCTTCTTATATGAAAGTGAATATTTACAAGAGAAAATATTGATAGAATTAGAAGCGTTTCACACAAAACAAAAAATCTTCTGACATGACATGTAAAATTTTTGTCACAGTAAATCTGCATATAAGCGATAAACAAATACCTACCACCATGCAAACAGTTTCCATAGCAAGCTTAGTGGTCGGAAAATAGCCCACAGTTCACACAGCAGAAGTTGTTGAAAGATTTCCATTGTTCATTTCCCATCAATTTTAATAGCATATCACTCTATTTTAACCAGTTTCATCAGTTCCAAAACAACACAAATCCAATTATCCTGATACAGATGTTGATCGCAGATTTTCGTGAGCGTTGTAACTCCAACAAAGTGAAAAGCTGGTTAAAAATTCCAAATTATACATGGCAGTTTGAGATATTGGTCTATCACCTGATGCTTAGGTTGATTAGGACCTCAAAAGACAAAGGTAGGCGGATCGCTTATTATTCTGCTAATAGCCATTTGGGGAAAATATTCAGTACATGTAACCCTGTTGTCGAATCAATGACATACTTTGAAATATTAGGATATTTTTTTTTTAATTTCGTGTATGTTTGCGATGACAAGTGTTCAAAATCTAAAATCTTTTTGAGGTTCTTCTCGAAATAATTACTTTGTTTCAGCATTGTTTTGTAGTTTACACATTTAGCCACCTTTTTAAGTCTACCTGGCGGTTGAGAAACACAAATTAATAATTAATATTGTCAATGTAAATGTCAACATAAACAAACAATTATAATAAACAGGTAATAATAATAATAAAACTTATTGAGTTTCGGATACTATTTTCTCTTTCTATCCATCTAAAATCTCTTCATTTTAGCATTATTTTAAACCACTAAAGCACCGGCAATACTTTTAAAGTTTGTTTTTCTCTTAGAAACGTATCAAAAATTAAAAATATGAATATACTCCTAGCTAAGTGGAAAAGTATATTCATTGTTTTTCAACGCGTGGTACGTGACATACAAAACATTCTCCTCTTATTATTTGACAATTTTTGGCGCACAGTGGTAATTCCCAGTTTGGTTGCTCCATTCGCTCGAAACGTTGAAGTTCTGCTTGTATTTTTATCATGTTTGAGCAGCTTGAGGTTTGCTATGTCTTTAAAACTAAAATTATTTTGAAAAGTACATTTTCCTGTGCAGCAGGGTTGTTTTTAAAAAAACACTTTAATTTAAAATTGCTTGGTCACAAAAAATGGAATTTTTAAAACGCAATTTGATTTTATAGGATGCAAATTTAGAAGGTGTTTTATGAACTATGAAAATATTAGACAATTTGATCTACCTTGTGGAGTTTGTTCTCCCATAGTGGCCTTTAATGCATAATGTTTTAAACTTATGTGAAGAGTAAACGTAAGAAACAATGCGTGTGATAACGAAAGGCTACTATGGCAAAATGTCCAAGTTTTGGAGAAAAGTTAATTGTTCTGAAAAATGTAAAAGTTAATTGTGATGTTTAAAACAAAACGTTTAATCATATATATATATATATATATATATATTACGCTCTTTCACTTCGGTGTTGTTGAGCACTCTGCGGAGTAGTTAATGGATGTCTATTAGCGATAATGCAAAGCTCACTTCCCTTGTGGTCGTTCGAGCACTCTGGCTCCATTACGCTCTGCGCATGTCTGGATGCGTTGAGTCACCGTGTTGTACCACATGCCTTGGTGAGAGCAAGTTCATGGGGTATTAATACGAGTGTCTCACGTATCTAGACGTGTACCAAGCTGCACTGACGAGGCGTTGAACGCCGAAACATGCATGTCTGCAGATTGTACTATTACGCTCTTTCACTTCGGTGTTGTT